GTATATAAATTTCGTACCCAAAATTTGCCTTGTATTGAATAAGAACAGCTGAATTACAAGCTAGGTCAATCCTGTGCTGTCTCTAGACTATTTTCTCTGATAGAAAGAAGGAGATAGAGTTGTCAGGAGCCTAATTGGGTGGCAACCTCCTGCTTGCACCCTGCTGCCCTTAACATTCCAATTGTGCTTGATTACAAATTGTGACATTAAGTGTGAACTTACTTAAGACCATTTTCTGTGCCATTAATATTTTCATCCTGTGTTCCAAAAACATATATTCAGTGATACTTCATATTCATTGGAATATTATTCCTTTCTGATTTCAGGGTAGGAGATCATGGCCCTATTACTACTAAATGGGATATTATAAATTGTTTTGTGTTGTATATACTCTCTGTCTCTAATTCTTCTTCCATTCATTCTTTTTTTCTTTAACCTTTTTATTATGGAAAATTTCAAATACATACAGAAGAAAAACAGAATATAATACAGTGAAGTACCACATACCCACCTCTCAGCTACAAGTCATCCACTCACAGCCACTGCTGCTCCTACAGTTTTCTCTCAACTCTGTTTATTTTTATTTTATTTTATTTTTTGAGACATGGTTTCACTCTGTTGTCCAGGAGTGTGGTGGCACAATCTCAGGTCATTGTTGCAACCTCCATCTGTCAGGCTCAAGCTGTCTTCCCACCTCAACCTCCCGAGTAGCTGGGACTGCAGGCCTGCCACACACCTGGCTAATTACAGGGTTTCACCATGTTGCCCAGGCCAGTCCTGGACTGAGTTCAAACAATCTGCCTGCCTTGGCCTCCCAAAGTGCTGAGATTACAAGCCTGAGCCACTGTACCCAGCCTTTCATCTCTGTTAATAGCTCCTTTATCATCCCAGTTTCCCTGGCCATAACTGTAGAGTATCCTTGACACCTTACTTTCTGCCATTCCCACATTCAATCCCTCAGAAAATCCTATAGGCCGTGCCTTCAGAATATATCCCAAATCCAACTACTCATCACCCTCACTGCTGCTACCATGGTCCAAGCCTCCACCATTTCCTACCTATATTATTTTTGTCTTGCCTTCTACTTTGTTCCTACCTTGACCCCCTTCAATCTATTCAACACAGCCTTCAGAATGATTTGTTACAATGTAAGTCAGGTCACACGTTTCTCTGCTCAAAAGATGCCAGTGGGTAGCTTCCTGTTCACTGAAGGGAAAAGCCAAAACCTTTACAGTGACCTCCCAGGCCCTATACAATTTGTCGTCTCCCTTTCCTATATTACTTTTCTGACCCTGTTTCCTACCCTGTCCCATTTGCTCATTCTCCTCAGCCACCCTGGCCTCCTTGCTGCTCCCGAAACATATCAGGCCTATGATAGCTTCAGGGCACTTGCTGTTCATGCTACCTGAAATGGTTTCTCCAGACAACCACAAGACTCACTCCCTCACTGCCGTTACTTCTTAAATATTACCTTGATGAGACTTTTCCTGGCTGCCGTATTTAAAGTTATTTTAATAACTCCCTACCTCTAATGTGTACACTCCTTGTCCTTCCCATTTTCTCTTTCCTTCGTAGTATTTATCAGCATTTAACACTGTATTTAACTTACCTTGTTTATTTCTGTCTTCCCCTACTGGAGCATAGCTCTCCGAAGGCAGGGATACTTTTTTAGTCCTCCGTTCACTGCTGAATCTCTAGGGCTTGGAACAGTGCCTGGCATACAGTAAGCTCATAAGTGAACAGAATGAATGCTTCATGCTTCCCTTGCCCATCCATTAGGGCTGTACCTTCAGCACAACAGTTTTGTCTGTCTGCTTCCATTCCATGCTGAAAGTATAATGGAAGGGTTCTAATTTGAGCTGTCTGGACTTGCAGGGAGTCTAAAATGGACTGTTATAAACCCCTTGATATTGTATAAAAACTTGTGTATGTGTGTTTTTCTTGGGAAAGGCCCTATGCTTGTCATCAGACTCTCACATATGTGACTTAAAAGGTTGAAATTCGTTGGTAAGATAAAAAGAGCACGAGACTTAGAACTAAAGGATTTGAATTTGATTCCTGACTGCATACCTTATACAAGCCATTTCCTTTAACTTTGTCTATGAAATGGGAATGGTTGGCCGGGCGCGGTGGCTCAAGCCTGTAATCCCAGCACTTTGGGAGGCCAAGGCGGGTGGATCACGAGGTCAAGAGATCAAGACCATCCTGGTCAACATGGTGAAACCCCGTCTCTACTAAAAATACAAAAAATTAGCTGGGCATGGTGGCGCGTGCCTGTAATCTCAGTTACTCAAAAGGCTGAGGCAGGAGAATTGCCTGAACTCAGGAGGTGGAGGTTGCAGTGAGCCGAGATCGCGCCATTGCACTCCAGCCTGGGTAACAAGAGCGAAACTCCATCTCAAAAAAAGAAGAAAGGGGGAATGGTTATACCTCCTTCATTCCCTACTTTAGAAAATGATTGTAGGATTGAAAGGAGGTATCAAGTGTGAAAACCTTACTGAACAAAGTTTAAGGAGTACATCTCACAGGTGCAGAGCATTTTCAAAGCATTTCATATGCATCGCTGCTGACAGGCCCCCTGTTGACAAAATGAATTTCAAATTGCTTTTTCTATTCAGGCACAGGCGTCTTGCTCTGTTGAAGCAAGTCAGTATCCGAGAAAACTGCTGCTCCCTTTGTTGTGATGAGGTAGCAGACACACAATTGAAGCCATGTGGACACAGGTAAGAGGATTTGTTTGGTTGTTTCCTCTTTTGTACTAATTATATTATATTCCTAATATAATATATACTAATTATATTATATTCCTAATATAATATATACTAATTATATTATATTCCTAATTATATTAGCAAAGTTTCATACTGTTGTTGAATTGCTAGTTCCATAGCTGTTCCTCAAGGTTTATTGTATCTAAAGCAGGCTGAATGAGGAACTAGAGTTTAAGTAGAATCTGGCTGTCTTCCAGAAAGTACCTGAAATAGAAGCTGCTGCTTGATGTGGAAGGCTTGTTTTTGTTTTGTTGTTTTTTTACTCAGTACTGCATTTTTGATACAGTTTTTGCTTCACAAAATATAACAGGTTTAATGCTATTTATGAGTTTCCTGGGCAGTCTCTTTGAGTTTTAGAGCTTCCTCATTTACTTATTTACAATCAACCATTGAGAAGTTAGCAGCCTCCTTGTCATCTTACTAAATTTCAGTTGTATGAGATGAACTCAGAGGGCAGCCTGGACCCTATAGAACAGAGTGAGCATCAGCAAGAGAAGCTAGTAAGATGGTCCCCAGGAAGGCTAGCCCAATTAAGTTTAGAAAGGAGAAGAGCGGTTGGGCACTGTGGCGTCCTGGCCAATCCATGTGTGTTGATTGTATATGAGCAACATTCATGCTGATGTTACAAGCCAGCTACCTGTAATTCTTCGTATTCCATGCTCTGCCTTGGTCTTATTTTTGACATAGCTTTAGCCACCTAGCTCCACAGGAGTCAAGAACCTGGAGTGATGGACCCAGTTTGTCATCCCCAGGAATGACTTAGCCTGGGTCCCTGACTCTGCCTCTACATTTGTTGTCTTTTGAAATGTGTTATCTAATTGGCTCTGCACTTAAGGGAAGTATAATGTATCTCATTTCACCCTTAGCTATACCAGCCTTTCTTCTGAAAGAAAGGCACAGTAATTCCAGCTGTGATTAATCCTCCCTATTACTTCTACAGCCCAGCATTTCTCAGTTTGAGCACATTTGGAGGTTTTAGTTCTCAGGGCCTCACAGACAGATGCAGAGTTTAAATGTTGGATATCTTCATGCCCTTTTTAATCTTTGTTTCTGTAAGAATGTTAAGATCTCAAACAGCAGGATCTGGTCTTATTCATCTTTGAGCTCTCTGGCCCTTCCCTGTGGTCTTGCACTTAATACAAGGGCTCAGTAATGAGTGCTGAAATATAAAACTTAGAACTAGGTATCTTAAGTATGATCATAGTCTCCATAGTAGATATATATCCAAAATAGAGTTGGAAGAAGACATTTAAAGAATTAAAAGAAAATTTATCTCAACTTTGAGCAGCAGCAACAATTTTAAAAGGGATATAGGGACAAAGAAAGGAAACCTGGATAAAATGAATTACAAGAATCAACCCCCAGAGGAGACTGGAAATCTAAGTATTCTTGTTACCATGAAAGAAGTTGAAATGGTTATTAAAGCTACCTTTGCTGTCCCTCCCACAAGTACTTAGGCTAGTTTCACAGGTGAACTCTACAACTTTCAGGAAATAGGTAGTCCAATTCTATTTAAACTTGTCCAAAGCATAAAGTAGGAAAACCACAATGTTATTTTTGGTAATCATACTAACAGCTGGTAAAACTCATAAAAAGAAAAAACTGTTTTTTATTTATGAATATAAATCTAAAACTCCTAATTAAAATATTAGAAAGTAAGACTCAGCAACACAACTGGCAAGGGGAGTTATCTTAGGAATGCAAGGATGGTATAATACAGAAATCTTAAGCCGGGTGTGGTGGCTCACGCCTGTAATCCCAGCACTTTGGGAAGCCGAGGCAATTGGATCACTTTAAGTCAGGAGTTTAACCCAGAAATAGAACTAACTAAAAATACAAAAAAAAAAAAAAAAAATTAGCCACCACACCTGGCTAATTTTTGTATTTTTAGCAGAGACAGGGTTTCACCATCTTGGCCAGGCTGGTCTCGAACTCCTGACCTAAAGTGATCCACTTGTCTCAGCCTCCCAAAGTGCTGGGATTATAGGCGTGAGCTAACGTGCCCAGCCTACAATACAGAAATCTTTAATATAATTACTCAAATAGGCCAGAGGCAGGAGAGGGGCAGTTATCACTTTCTCCAAGAATGCTGAAAAAGCATTTGTTAAAATTCAGTATCCATTCCTAATGGATGAAATACTATAAAACAGAAACGAATGGAGAAACAAAAAACATTATAAAATAGGAATGAATGGATACTTCCTTAACAGTATAAAAAACACATATATATTTCAGCCAAATGCTAGCATCTTTTTAATGGTGACACGCCAGAAGCATTTCAAGAGATGTTGGGAACAAGATAAGGATACCTAGTGTCACTACTATGACTTACAAAATATACAAAGTCAGTAGCTCTCCTGGCTGTATGTATAAATGAGCAGCCCATTAGAACATATAATTGAAGATCCCTTTTACAATGGTTTAGAAAAAGCTATCTAAGAATACATACCAAGAAATATGTAGAGCCTATGGGAAGAAAACTTTTAAACTACCACAGAGTATAATAGGAGACTTAAATAAAAGTCTTTCCTTGGATAGGAGGACCTCTCAGTATTGTAAAGGTGACAGTTTTCTCTTAAACTCTTAAGTTTAATGTGGTCAACATAAAAAGAGCAACAGACCTTTTCTGGAACTAGACACGCTGATTTAAAAGTTTAAGGCAAGAAAATTCTGAAAGTTGCAGAGATGACAACTATACTACATCTTAAAAATACATTAAATGTTAATAGCTGGGCACAGTGGCTCATGCCTGTAATCCCAGCACTTTGGGAGGCTGAGGTGGGCGGATCACGAGGTCAGGAGTTTGAGACCAGCCTGGCCAACATGGTGAAACCCTGCCTCTACTAAAAATTAAAAAAAAAAAAAAAATTAGCTGGGCGTGGTAGCATGCACCTGTAATCCCAGCTACTCAGGGGGCTGAGACAGGAGAATCGCTTGAACCCGGGAGGCAGAAGTTGGAGTGAGCAGAGATTATGCCACTGCATTCCAGCCTGGGTAACAGAGCAAGACTTCGTCTCAAAAAATAAAAATAAATGTTAATAGTTAGGTCTCATTACTATATGACAAGAATGGCAGAATAATGGAATAGAATAGAAACCCAGAAATAGAACTAACTAAAAATGAAAATTTACCATATGACAAAGGCAATGTGTTAAAACTGTGGTGGAAGATGGACTGTTCAGTAAATTATTCTAGGATAAATAGCTAGCTTTCTGGGGAGAAATATTGTATCCCTGCCTATATGTACACATCTGTAAGTATATGCTGTGCATGTATAGAGTGTCTGAAAGAATGCACATGAACTTTTTACTTGTTCTTCAGACTAAGACAATTGAGGATCAGAAATGGAAGATTTATTTATTTACATATTCATTTTTTGAAACCATGTATAATTATTGCCCTTTCAATGAACAAACTTGTTAACATTTTAGATTTAGGTGGCAGGTAGTTGGAGTTTGACCTTTTGAAGCATTAACTTGACTGGCTTTTCTTTGTTTCTCCCCAGTGACCTGTGCATGGATTGTGCCTTGCAGCTGGAGACCTGCCCATTGTGTCGTAAAGAAATAGTATCTAGAATCAGACAGATTTCTCATATTTCATGACACATGTGAAGAGGCACCGTGGACTTTTTTCTACTCAATTCCAGCCAATGTTGAAAAGAAAAAGAAAAAAATCTAATCAGTTGTACACACATTGAAACTTATAGCCATGGCCAGATTTTATGCTAAAAACGGTAGTTTGTCAAAAACAAAATTCTCTTAGAATCTAATCCAATTTGCCAGCCCTGAGAAAATCCCTTTTAAGGCCAAGGAAAGCTGAATGCTAGCAGCCCAGCCTGTGGTACTTCCATGAAAAACCATAGGAGTCAGTGCCCTCCCAAGTACTGAAATCACACTGGAATCCTCCATGTTGGGTTCATTTGATTGTTTAACACAGGATGTGTTTGTCATTCTGAAGTTTTTCTTTGGGGCAGAACTCTTTACGGAGATGTAAATGACAGCGTTTCTGGGTTATGCATAACTTCTCGCTGGTAGGAGAGACACCGGTGTGTGCATGGATATTGCACTGCAAGACTCGAATCTGTAAAAATTAGAATTACACAGTCAGTACTACAAGCAAAACAGAGAACCTGAAAGAAGGTGCACAGACTGTAGGAAAAAACCCAAATTTTTGATATTTCAGTGATTCCAAAGAACATTCTAGGTTTTTTTGTTTTGTTTTGTTTTTACTGAAGAAAATTGGTGATATTTTCACATTCATAGTGTTTCTATCTAGTTTCAGTACCCACATTTTATGAGGAAAAAATGTTTTATCAATGCAGGAGGAATTCTTAAATTAGCTGCAATGTTAGGTTGGAGAAAATTTGGTATTTAGGGTATTTTTAAGGTACCATCAGATCAGATTTCTGTTTTTTTGTTTAAAAATTTTTTTAATCAGTATTGTTTTTACAAGTAATATACTTTGCATCTCTTGAACTAATAGTCTCAAAAACTGTAGAGGACAGTCTGAGAACACATATTTCTATTGTTCTAAATAAATACATGTTTTTGAATAGCAAGTTCAATCATGAATTATTGACTATGTCCTCATCAAAAGTGTTAATCCCTCTCAGGGTCTCTGGTGAAGACCTTCAAGAGTTTGGTTTTTTTCTCCCTGGAAATTGGAAGGTAGAATTGTAAATTCATAGAACTTCTTTTATAATGGTGTACCTCAGCAGCTGCCTTTCAATTTATGCCAATTCCTTACAGAGTTTATACTTGAATAGTAAATATGTCTTCTGAGTTTTACAGTGTCTTAAACTCAATGCCCATTTTTTTCCTTCTTTTCCCACCCTTTCTTGTTTGTAGTTCATTATATCCGTCCTATTCCAGAACTGATTTCCTTCCTGGCTGTACATGTTGGGGTGCTGGATTTTTTTCCATGTCTTTAGTCTTCCATAACTCCAAAAATATATATAAATATAAATATATATGTAGATACATGTTCTCTTCTTTAGCTTGTGGTGAATACAGTAATTTGCATTGAAGAATAAAACATCTGTTGCCTTTTTTGACTAAGATTTCACAACTTTCATTGGTGTATACTGCTAAGGTTCCAAGACATTACACTCTTAGACTTTAAGGGCTACTTTTGGGGGTAGGAGAGAATCAAGTATTAGAATTAAGAATAAGGCCAATCACTTACTCATCCAGCAGATTGTTATTGAGCACCTAATACGTGCTAGGCACTGTGTGTATGTGGTATACAAAATACCTGTTTGTAGAGCTTATGTCTAATGGTGGAGAGAAGACAATATATTTGTGTGCAACAAATTTTTAATGGAAAAGAATAGGGTCCTAGAGAGAATGAAGGGGACCTAATTTAGATGGTGGTGGGATGTCAGAAGAAACCTGAGGAAGTAACACTAGTGAAACTTAAAGGAGGAAGTAGGACATAGCCTGTCAGGGACTGAGGACTAGCTTCTAGGACTGGGTAGCTAGACAAACACAATATTTGAGGTGAAGATACTAACTGAGGAAGAACTGGTCTCAGTGGGTTTGGGGATCTGATGGAAGGCCCCTGTAACTAGAAAAATAGGAAGCAGATAGGTAGGAAAGTAATGTTACAGAGTTGGAGTGGCCAGGGAACTGCTTATGAAGGCCATGTGAAGGACTTTTTATTTAATACTAAGTGCAGTAGAAAGCAAAGGTGTTTAAGCATGGACATGCCTTGATAAATAATTCTAAAAGATGGCTCTGGTTTTTATTCAGAGAATGGAATGGAGGAGTGGGGTGGGGTGGAGATAAAGGATAAGCAAAAAATGGAAATAGACCAGTAAAGAAACTTGGAAATGGTCCAGCTGAGACTAAAGGTAATCTGTACAGTTAGTGGAAATAGGGAAAAATAGATGGAATTAATAGATGATTTGCCAGGGAAAGGAATGTAGGAGCCTAACAGCTCTCTAAAAAGCTACCCTTGAACTTTGCTCCTAAGGAGGTTTACTTTTCCAATTCATAACTTCTAGACCATAAAACAAAAGGACTTCAATATTAAATTCATTAAATTATCGGGATGGAAGATTGTAATTTTGTAAAAATTCACGTTGTAAATTTGGAGTTACCTCAAAGGAAAAGACAGGAACTCCACATCAAAGAAAAAACTAGGGTTTAGCAAGCTATGCGGAAGAGTAAATAGTACATCCATAATCTGAACCGAATGCACGCATTTAAGAGAAATTTAAAGCTAGACTTTTACTACTGATAAATTGTTACCAGGGAGAAAAAAATGTATGGCATTTCATCAGGTGATTTATTGGGGAAATCCAGCGTTTCAGCCAAAAAGAAGTTAACAAATTGCCTCCTTTTTCCAATGGCATAGAGCAGGAGAAAGTCATGGTGCCATTTGCAGAGTGCGAGGAAACAATGATTCAGTCACAAAACTGACGCAATTTCACCAGCAGAAAATGACTTTTGCACAAGTTTCAACCATCTTGAAAGTGTATCCACCAAAACAAAGCATCCACCTAAGATCAGCTCTTTGCAAGATTGCCCATTATTTACCTTTTTCTATTTATTCACTCAAGAATTCCTAGTGACAACCCCCAAAGGACTTAAAAAATGAGTATTAATGGAAAAATATAAGTCAGTTTTAAATTTTTCTACAAGTGGAAAAAGGCCATTCTGTATTCAGGAGAAAACATGATTACCAGGAATATGGTTTAACAACCCAGAGATTAGGGGTGTGTATCATGATGGTTGAACACAGGCCCTTTGGAGTGGGACTGGACCCAGGACCCGCTAAGCTTTGGTTTCCCAGTCTGTAAAATGGAGATAATACCCATCTCATACTGGTTGGTTTTTGTTTTTATAGGGTTTCAAATATTTCAAAAGGAGACAATGTATTTATAAATGTTTAGCACATTAATACATCCCTGAGTGAGTGGGTACCTTTTATCTTAATCCCCATTTGTTCCTAGAGCCAAGGGTGGTGAAATGGATTAAAAGATAGCCACAAATTATTTGACATCCCTCCCATCAAGAAATGAGGTTTAGATCCACTCTCCTTAAATTTGGGTGTCTCTGTCTGCTTGATAGTGCAACACAGTGGAAGGGATACTGTGCTAGTTTCCAGTACCAGGCATTTAAGTGACTGCCAGCTTTCCATTTCAGTGTCTCTTGAAACACTTGCTCTTGGACTCAGCACCGTGGTGCAAGAAAACCCAAGAATCCCCTGAATCCTATACATGGAGAGGAACTGAGGACCCCCCTGCCCCCAACTCCCAGCCCCAGTTCTCTGGTCAACATCCACAACTGAGCTCCCCCAGCCAAGAGCCAACACTAATTTGCCAGCCACGTGAGTAAACTCCTTGGAAGAAGCTCCTCTAGTCCATTCCAGCTGCCCTAGCTGACAGCAAACTAGTGAACAAAATGGTTATTTTAAATCACTAAGTTTTCAGGTGGTTTGTAAAAGCAATAGATAACCAGAACAGATGGTGTTTGTCCTTCACTCCATAAATGACTTAGGAAGGGTAGGCAAGTTCATTTTGTCCAGAAATGTGTGTGTAACACACATAGATGTATATAGATGTTTCTCTATACATCTATGTATAGAGTAAGTAGGTCATGAAGAAATTTCTGAGTTTGTTGTAAGCTGTGTGACCAGGGCTCGACTAAACAACTCAGTCCAGTAATTCAGCAAACTTTTTAAATGCCTATCTTCCTCCTGGTGCTAAACAGAGTAACTCGTAACTGATGTGCGAGTCCACACTAAAACGTCCATACTAAAACTGGAGTGCGAGGCGGGTGTCACCACGCCCAACTGGGTGTGGTGGCTCGCCTGTAATCCCAGCACTTTGGAAGGCCAAGGCTGGGGGATCACCTCAGGTCAGGAGTTTGAGATTACCCTGGCCAACATGGTGAAAGCCTGTCTCTACTAAAAATACAAAAATTAGCCGGGTGTGCTGGCACAAATCCCAGCTACTTGGGAGGCTGAGGCAGGAGAATTCCTTGACCCCAGGAGGCAGAGATTGCAGTGAGCTGACTGTGCCACTGCACTCCAGCCTGGGCGACGGAGCAAGACTCTGTCACTTCGTCACTGCTATTACACCCAACTGTGTCTTTGTAACCATCTTTTTTCCAGATCTGAAAGGTATCTATTTTACGTCCATTCAAAGATGTCTGGTAGGCCAGGCACAGTGGCTTACACCTGTAATCCCAGCACTTTGGGAGGCCGGGGTGGATGGCTCGATCACCTGAGGTCAGGAGTTCGAGACCAGCCTGGCCAACATGGTGAAAACCTGTCTCTACCAAAAATACAAAAATTAGCCAGGCATGGTGGCGGGTGCTTATAAGCCCAGCTATTTGGGAGGCTGAGGCACAATAATCGCTTGAACCCGGGTGGTGGAGGTTGCAGCCAGCCAAGATTGTGACACTGCACTTCAGCCTGGGCAACAGAGCAAGACTCTGTCCCCCCTCCCCCCCGCCAAAAAAAAAAGTCTGCTAACCCATTCTGACTTACCATCTGACACTCAGTTCATATTTTAAACACCTCTAGTCATACAGCACACTTTGGCCAAAAGGCAACCCAAGAGACACAAAGCTTAGTTGTCCAATCAAGAGAAATCAGCTCAAAAGAGTCATTTTTCAAAGTCTGGTAGTTTTGAAGAGGCCTTTTCCTGAAAAGTATCTGATTCCTGATTGCGTGGCTCAAAGTAGTTCTTCAACTCTAGTCCTGTATCATTAGTCAAGAAATCAGTTACTGCCTGGGGCTTTCCTTCCACGAGGGATAGGAACTGAAGGGATAAAGGACTGGCTCTCCAGCGACTTGGCAACTTACAAGCTCTCTTCAAACACATCTTAAACTACTTATTTAATCTTCCACACTCTGCGAGATGCAATTTATTCTTGAGTTGCAAGTGAGGAAATTGAGGCTCCTGGCATAAAATGGGGGGCGACGTGACACGGAGTCGCCACACACAGCGCTCGCCAAGCCCCATCCCTCTGCACTCCCTTCCCAGACTTCCTCTCCCGGTCTTACCCCTCCCCGGCGTCGGTAACACGCGCCTGTGATTGGCTGTCGGCCCGCCGCGAGGCGGCGGAAGAGGTTGCGGTGACCATAGTGACGGGAGGCGGGGCACGGCGCCCCTCGTGCAATCACCTAGGCCTGGACCTGCGGCGGCATCCGCTAGTGCAGAGCGTCCGGCGGAGCCTAGAGGCCGTGCTGGCGGGTGGCAGCAGCCGGGTACCCAGGGTTGGGCCTGGCGCGCAGGCGCTGACCCGACTAGGCAGTGAGCGGCCGCGGCCTTGGTTGCTAGGCCTTAACCCGGCCAGCGGCCGCGCCCTGCGTGTGGGTGGGCCGCGGGCGGGGTAGGAGCTTACGCGGGGCGGCGACGATGGACGCCTTAGAAGAGAGCTTTGCGCTGTCTTTGTGAGTAGCTCCGCCAGGGCGCGGCGGGCGTTCGTCGTGGGCCTGACCCTACAGTACGGGTGTCCTTAGGGGCGGGGCGGGGCAGGGTGGGGGCCGCCAAGGCTCTGTCCCAGCTCCAGGCCTTCATTTTGTAGAGTCCTGAGGCCGCCGGTTTCAGGCTTCACAGGACGGGAGTGCGAGGCGGGTGTCACCATTGATCAGCGCCTCCATCACAATCCCCAGCCGCCAACCCTCAGCTGTCAGCAAAGCCTGGCAGGATTGAGCCCGAGACCCCTCCACGCCTCCCTGGCCCCCACCTCCCGGACTTTTGACCAAAATGACCCCCCTGGCAGGTATTTCGCCCGCGCCAGGTTCATGCATACAAGCAGACAGGTACGGGGTGATAGCGAAGAGCCTGGAGAACCAGGTTTTATGAAAGTGGAGTCGTCACATTGAACGTTCATGTCACAAACGTTTCAAGTGTTTCTCTTCTGTTTGGACTTGCTGGATTAAACAGTCTTTTTTTTTTTTGAGACGGAGTTTCGCTCGTTACCCAGGTTGGAGTGCAATGGCGCGATCTCGGCTCACCGCAACCTCCGCCTCCTGGGTTCAGGCAATTCTCCTGCCTCAGCCTCCCGAGTAGCTGGGATCACAGGCACGCGCCACCATGCCCAGCTAATTTTTTGTATTTTCAGTAGAGACGGGGTTTCACCATGTTGACCAGGATGGTCTCCATCTCTTGACCTCGTGATCCACCCGCTTCGGCCTCCCAAAGTGCTGGGATTACAGGCTTGAGCCACTGCGCCCGGCCCTAAACAGTCATTCTTAATTGCTGAAGATGGGTGATGGGAAGTTCATTTTGCTACTCTTTTTTTTCTCTTGTACATGTTTGAAACCATCCATACTAAAAATATTTTATTAATACATTATATGAAATAGCACCTAATCCAGTCATGTTTTTCAGCTCCTCTGCCTCTGATGCAGAATTTGATGCCGTGGTTGGATATTTAGAGGACATTATCATGGGTAAGCTTTTAAGATACTGTTTTTAAGGACTGGCATGCTTCTTCTTTAAGGACATTGAAATCAATTTGGAGAGTTAATTTTAAAAATAGAAAACATCAAGCTGCATGCAATTTTTAGTGCAATACTTAATAAAGGCTTACTGCCGTTTGTCCTAGAAACAAACAGCCCAGTACTCCTGAAAACATCCGATAACCATAGATTCAGGGGCCTAGAAGGGACTGACTTAGGTAATGGGAACTAGCAAAACTATAGGAAATACTGATCTACCCTATTTCATATGCAGGATAGGAGCAATTTCATTTTTAGATAGTTTTGAGTTTTAACATTTTCATGCCATTAAACATATAAAACCATAACCACAAGCACACATGGTTTGTGGTTAAGAAAACAAGGTGTTAAGCTTCAGCTTGTTCTGTATTTTCCTAGGTTTTGAGTTCCTACTTGTGGATATACTTGGGCATCCATGAAGCCTGCCAAGTAACAGGCAAGCAGTCACAGTCCCCAGAGGTTTAAGACAAGTACATAGGAGAGGAAAACTTACATTTGAGAAAATTCTGTTGATTTTAAGTTTTATGAGAATGAGGAAAAGAACACTGTTATTTGGTATTATTTGTTCCATGGCTTAATCCATTTAGTATGGAAATTACTGACCAAGTTTTTATACCTTCAGGTATAAAGTTTCATGCCCTTAACTCCTGAATATAGATGTTTCATCATTAAGCTCTTTTCCCATATGGACTTGAGGATTTCTGGGGAATGCTGAAGAATCCATTCAGTTCTCTTGCCTATTATACCCTATATGCTGTGGGAAAATGAGCCTTCTGTGAGCCTACGGTATTTATCCCAAGGTCTGGGTCCTTTCTGAAACTTTCCTTTTATTTTTAGAAATAATCTATTCAGTTGTTAAAATTCCTTATTCCAGGCTGGGTGTGGTGGCTCAGAGCTGTAATCCCAACATTTTGGGAGGCCAAAGCAGGCAGATTGCTTGAGTCTAGGAGTTCAAGACCAGCCTGGGCACTATAGGGAGACCATGTCTCAATTAAAAAAACAAAAAAAATTCCCTATTCCCTATCATTTATTAAGTGTTCACTATGAACTAATCTATTTACATGAATTCTCATTTAAATTCTACCTCCGGTCCTTTATAATAGATACAATAAACCCTTCTTATTTTCCAGATAAATGAGTTTATCTGGGGTTCAGAGAAGTTAAGTAACTTACCCAAGGTCACACAACTAGTAAGTAAGCAGCTGAGATGGGATTCAAACCCAGGCAGGCTAGCCTCTTTCAGACCCCATACTTTTAATCACTGTTTCTATAACTGCTGCTGAAGTTATATCAAAATAAGAGAGAACCAATTCGTTCCTTTATAAGAAAAGTAATGTGAGGGAGTTCCCAAGCCACCCTGTGTGGATGTGTTTAAAGTGGACTGAAGAAAATCAAATACCGCATGTTCTTACTCATAGACGGGTGTTGAACAATGAGAACACATGGACACAGGGAGGGGAGCATCACACACTGGGGTCTGTTGGGGGGAACTAGGGGAGGGACAATGCGGGGTGGGGAGTTGGGGAGAGATAGCATGGGGAGAAATGCCAGATATAGGCAGAAGGGGAGGAAGGCAGCAAATCACACTGCCATGTGTGTACCTATGCAACAATCTTGCATGTTCTTCACATGTACCCCAAAACCTAAAATGCAATGAAAAATAAAAATTAAAATGGACTGAAGGATGGTGATCATTGCACAGCAGTGTGAACATACTTAAAGCCACTGAGCTGTGTGCTTAAACATTAAAATGATAAACACATTTTATATTTCACTGCAATTTAAAAAGGAAAAACAGGGCCAAGCATAGTGGCTCACACCTGTAATTCCAGCACTTTGGGAGGCCAAGGCAGGCAGATCACCCGAGGTCGAGAGTTCCAGACCAGTCTGGCCAACATGGTGAAACCCTGTCTCTACTAAAAATACAAAATAAGCCCAGCGAGGTGGCACACATCTGTAATCCCAGCTACTCAGGAGACTGAGGCAGGAACCCCGGAGGTAGAGGTTGCAGTGAACCAAGATCGCACCATTGCACTCTAGCCTGGGTGACAAGCAAAACTCCAGCTCAAAAAAAAAAAAAAAAAAAAAAGGGGGCCAGACATGGTGGCTTATGTCTGTAATCCCAGCACTTTGGAAGGCCTAGGCGGGTGGATCACAAGGTCAAGAGATGAAGACCATCCTGACCAACATGGTAAAACCCTGTCTCTACTAAAAATACAAAAATTAGCTGGGCATGGTGGCGTGCGCCTGTACTCTCAGCTACTTGGGAGACTAAGGCAGGAGAATCTTGGCTTGAACCCAGAGGGTGGAGGTTGCAGTGAGCCAAGATAGTGCCACTGCACTCCAGCCTGGGCGACAGAGCAAGACTCCATCTCAAAAAATAAAAAAAGAAAAGAAGAAACAGGATTGGTCTATTTTAATATCAAGGTCCCATTTAATATCCACTTAAGAGCTTTCCTTCTAGCAATTGACCATTGAGAAAGCAGTACTGCTGACATAGATCCTGCCTACTTATAAATCATAATGGTTGGTAATCTCCACTTAAAAAGAGTAAATTTTCCCCATTGTGGTTCAGATGACAAGTTCCAGTTACTACAGAGAAATTTCATGGACAAGTACTACCTGGAGTTTGAAGACACAGAGGAGAATAAACTCACCTACACTCCTATTTTTAATGAATACGTAAGTAGATTCCTATGTCTCCTACCAGGAGGTCAGAGTTTTTTAAAATTTAAATTTAGAATCAAAAGACATTGAAATTTTCTGCCTTTTAAAATATGCCACTAGTGCACTGCCAGGAATCCCCATAAGAATCTGGTTTAAGTTCATTTTCCTCTGCACAGCCTTTGGGGCTATTTTCCAAAAGGCTTTCAGGCAAATACTTGATTAGCTCATTGGCTTATTTAAAAGAAGTTGGAGCTGGGCTTGGTAGCGGGCTTGTAGTGCCAGCTATTTGGGAGGCTGAGGTGGAAGAATCACTTGAGCTCAGGAGTTTGAGACCAGCCTGGGCAACACAGAAAGACCTCTCTCTAAAAAAAATAAATAAATAAAGATAATAAAATAGGTTTGGCTTATCATAATCCTGCTTTCAGTCATAGCACCTGAGTTCTTCATACCTTGCATCTGCATGCTTTCGGCAAACCTTGCTTTCACACATTCTTTCTTCTGTATAATCCAGTCAGATATGTACGACTGTTAAGTAAACGTGAAAACTGAGACCAAGATCACTAATTAGTTGGTGGAAAAACCAAGACTGGAACCCAGAAACCTCAGCTTGTCACCCCTGGGTCTCTACACTTTACCCTGAGGTCTCTTGCAGCCCTCTGGGATTCTGTCATCTAAGAATCCGTTTCAGCCTCCAGGACTTCATTTTCTTAACACAGAAGTGTGGCATAAACAATGAAACCTGCCCAGAAAGAACTTGTGATGCCTCCATGTCTGTGTTTTCTGAATGTTCTGTTTGCACAGATGCCATCTACCCAGGAAGCAAAGCCCCCAGTTATTGCACCCTGCACTGGGTTGTGGATGTGGGCACGGTGCTCCTCACTGTCTCCACCTATATCAGGGCATCGCCCTGTTACAGCATCATTACCAGCTAGTGCTTCTCTTCCACACAGGCTGAGTACTCCTCCAGGACAGAAGCTGTGTTTTGGTCCTCTTTGGTGTCCTTGGCACTCAGTGTAGATTGCGGCACACA